TCCAAGGGAATGGTTATGCTGTAATTTCTTCTCCTCCATTTCTCCCACCTTTTGGGATTTTAGCACACACTTGCTAGGTGTATTTTCCAAGCCACCTAGCCTGAGATTCAAACCATGTAGTCAGTCATGTGGGATCTAGCTCCTTAACCACCAGGCCATAGACTGGCCCTTGAGATTTGGGGGTTTTGCACCAAAATATATTTAAAAAATATTAAATTTTGGGGGGATGGCATGGTGGTTGGGATGCTAGACACTCCCATATGACTGACGGTGGTTTGAGTCCCAGACCTAGTGGCTTTCTTTTTTCTCTTTCTTCTCTTTCAGTGTGTGTGAGTGTGTGTGTGTGTGTGTGTGTGTGTGTGTGTGTGTGTGTGTCTGGTCAAATTAAAAATAAATGAATGAATAAATAAAGTTAAATAAGTAATTTTTAAAAATTCATTTTTTTTTGGAACCAGCAGTTAGTATAATGGCTATGTCGCTGGACTCCCACGTAGTCAACCGCAGTTCACGTCCCGGACCCAGTGGCTTAAAACTCATGCTGGACATGTGTGCATGTGTGCCCAAGATCCCGAGAGGAGAATGGAGGAGAAGGGACTGTGGAGTGGCCATCCCCCCTGGGGGGTGATTTCTTGCTTTCTGTCTCTCTGTCTCTCTCTGTCTGGTGAGTGCACGTGCCCTATAGCGAAAAACCTCTCAAAAAAAGAAAATTCTTTTTTTCACAAAATTTTCAAAGTTCATCTTGTGCAAAATCAATTAGAAATGGGTCAAAGATGTAAATGTAAAATGTAAGAATTAAAATTATAAGACCCTTAGAAGAAAATGTAGAAATAATTCTTTATGAACTTGGATCAGACATTAGTTTCTTAGATATGACACCAAAAGCACAAGCAATGAAAGAGAAAATAAGCACATTGGATTCAAAATGGAAAAGTTTGGTGCTTCAAAGGACACTGTCAGGAAAATAAAAAGGTATCCCACAGAATAGAAGAAAATATTCGCAAATCATATATACGACAAGGGTCTATTATCCAAAATATATAAAGAACTCTTATAATTCAACAACAAAAAGACAGTCTCATTTTAAAATGGGCAAAGGAACTAAATAGTCCTCTAAAGAAGATATGCAAATAGCACGTGAAAAAAGCTCCATATCATCAGTAATCAGGAAAATGCAAATCAAAACTACGTGACAAGCCACTTATTCCCACTCTGACAGATAATAAAAAAGATAGATAATAACAACTGCTGGCGAGAATAAAAAAATTGAAACCTTCCTATACTACTGATGGGACTATAAAATGTGCAGTCACTTTGGAAAATAGTTTGGCAGGTTCTCAAAAAGCTAAGTTATTGTAAGTCTCAACAGTTCTGCTCCAAGGTGCATATGCACAAGATCTGAAAACATACATTCACACAAAAACATGTACACAAGTGTTTATAGCAGCAGTATTCACAATAGTCAGAAATGGAAGCAACTTGGGACCAGCAGATGGCGTAATGGTTACATCACTGGACTCCCGTGTAATCAACAATGGTTCAAGTTCCTGACCGGGGGCTTAAAACTCATGTCACTGAATTTTGTGTGTGCATGCCCAAGTTCCAGAGAGGAGAATGGAAGAGAAGGGATTTTGACACACAAAATGGGTAAACCCTGAAAACAGTAAGCCAAGGGAAAGAAATTAAATATAAAAAGTCACACATTGTATTTTCCCATTTCTTTCTTTCTTTTTCTTTTCCTTTCTTTCTTTTATTTTTTTTATTTGCCAGAGGGCACATATGGAAAGAGACAAAGAGAAAAAGAAAAAGTGGCATGGTCATGGTGCAATCCCTTTTCCATCTCTCCTTTCTTTTGAGATTTTGGGCATACACCCAGCCTGTTTCTCAAGCCACCAGGTCCAGGACTCAAACCATGTGATCGGCCATATGGGATCTAACCGCCTCAACAACTATGCCATGGATTGGCCTGTATTTTCTCTTTTCTATGAAATGTCCAAAGTAGACAAATCCTTAGAGATGGAAAGTAGACCAGTGCTGAGGCATGGAATGGGAAATAACAGCAAATAGATATGGGGTTTCTTTTGAGGAATTAGGGAGTGGTGATGGCTGATTAACTATGAATGTTCTAGAAATCACTGGATTGTATACTTTAAAATAAATTAAAATAAAATGAATGAAAAAAAAGGTCGAGAAAATACAATAAAAAAAAAAAAAGGAACTTGCAAGCGCTGCAGGTGGAGTGGTGGTTAAAGCTCTGGACTCCCACATGGCCAACCACAGTTCAAGTCCTGGATCTAGTGGCTTGCTTTCTCACTCTCTTTCTGTCTCTCTCTGGTCCAATTAAAAAAAAAATAATAAATATAATTAAATAAAAAATTTTTTAAGTAATTTGCACAGCCAAGTGTATAGGACTCTAAAGCTCTTGTCAGATACTGCCTCCCAGGTGAGATTGGCTTCGTGAGCCAGCAGCCTGTGTAGCCCACTCAGGACCCTGCTTTTGGAAGAGCCTCACTAGAGGAAGGGCCTTGCTACTAGATGGGCTCCAGGCTTGGGAGGACCCTGCTCTTGAACTGATGCTGCACTGTCACCATCTTGAAATTCTTTATTTTTTAAACTTATTTATTTATTTATTTTAATTTGACCAGAGAGGGACAGAGTAAAACAGAGAGAGAGAGGGAAAGTGAGAAAGCAAGCTACCAGGTCCAAGACTTGAACCACAGTGGGCCATGTGTGAGTCCGGTGCCCTTAGCTACCATGCCACTTGCCAGGCCCACCATCTTGAAATTCTGAACAACTTTTGAACAAGAGGCTTTATATTTTTGTTTGCCCTGGGCTCTGCAAATTATGTAGTTGGTCCTGCACCCGGGACAGAGGAAAAGCAAGTGAGTGAATCAGGAGCCCAAGGGGCTCACCTCTCTGCCACACAGAGAAAACCTGAAATACAAATAATCACTCCTCATTTTCTGGACTATAAATCTTGATTGTCACAGGACAGAAACCTAACTACCCCTGAAATAGATAACAAAACTAGAAACATACCCCTTAAAAATGCGAAGGAAAGAAGGAGAATCTCCAAAGCCATTCATGTCATTATTCATATTCAGCCAAAAGGTAAAATCAAGAGCAAAATACCTGGCGACCCTACCTCAGAGAGCTCAGAGTGCTGAGACCAGAGACCACATGCAAAATGTGAGAGCACCAAGAAGCAATTCCAGAAATTCTCACAAAGTCGGAGAAGTAGGTGAATTGTGACATCATGGTGTGACCTCATGTCAGAGGACACAGGATAGAGAGAACAGAAGAGAGAATTCTGAAGCAGTCTTAATGCTGTTAATGTTTAAAATGGACTAACAATGTCAAGTCCAAGCCAGGCATAGTAATCCAAGTTACTTGGGAGACTTGAGTCCAGGGACCAGCAAATGGTGTAATGGTTACATCACTGGACTCCCACATAGTTGACCATGGTTTCAGTTTCGGACTCGGCAGCTTAAAACTCACACCAGGTGTGTGTGTACCTAAGATTCTGAGAAGAGAATGGAGGAGAAGGGATTGTGGTGTGGCCATCCCCCTTGGGGGGTGAGTTCTCATTTTCTGTCTCTCTGTCTCTCCACATGCCCTATAGCAAAAATCTCACT